ATGTAACTGGTTGATTGGGATGCGTATGTCGCGTGGATAGTATAAGACAAGCCATGCAGCTCTCATTGCACCAGGGCGGTCGAAAACTCCGACATGTTGAGCAAGGGGTCCGTTTTGGTACTGCGAGTCGTTATCATCTTGCAGGATGGAAGATCGAGTCGGTGGGATGCCTAATGGATGATAGACGTAAGGCATGATGTCATCTCCGTCGTTGATAGTTATTTGGTTCGGGCCACTCGATCCTGCCCTTGTCGCTCTCACGAGCAGCCTGAAGTTCTGCAAGTTAGCCTAGTAAGCAAGAATTAAACCTCGTGCAACTCCCGAGCCCCGGAATTTATTATCCCGCCTTAACGGAAAAATGCCTGTGCACAATGGCCAGCAACATTCGTCGCACTTGGCTCTCGCTCTCTGTTCCTTACTCGCACAATCTGAAAGCTTCAGCAGACGTAGGAAATAACAGATAGGTTCCGGAATACTCGTCCTCCTTCGTCCGAGTATTGCATGCCACGCATTTTTCTCGGTCGGCTCCGCCTCGCCCTCCATACTGAAATACATTTGCGTTACTTCGATCACTGACCACTGAGGAGCGGTATGGACATCGTTGTAAATCTCTGAGACACGCTGGAGATGCGTAGGCACAACATTCGGTAGTAACACCAAAAAACAAACTAAGATGCCCCATGGACGATTTCACCAATTAACGACTCCGATGAACCTACAGACACTCTCCTTAGTATGCCGACGAAAGAATACATTTGGGGGTGGGGGGGGGATAACGTGAACCGGTTCTTGAACCGCAGGGTCGTCCAAGGAATTGTAGCCTTGTCGACCATGTACCAGGCGTGTCTGCTCAGCTGGTGCTTCAACGTGGAGGCACGCTCTTTTCATCTAGCCCTCTTAATGAGTGAATTAAGTTTCGTAGTGGGAATACTGACAATTCCAATTTCGATTCTTTAGTCATTGCGGGTCCCGGGTGCTGATGATCCAGATTGATCTCAAGGATTTCCTCGTTATCCAATTCCGCCATACTTTTGCAACTAAATTCGCATTCACTTCATTGTCAACTCCACATCAAAGGATAAGGATCAAGCTATCGGATCAACATGGAGATCATGCAGGCTCGGAATCACAATGACTCAGCAGTGCTTAGCTGTAGGCATTGATTCCGATCCGGATGCCTTACATAGTGGAAATCGTATCTGGGACTCAGGAGGTCATAGCTACTGGACACCTTGGCATCTCCTTCCTGGTCACCACCGGACTCCTTGGAAACGTAGAGCAAGAAACAAACGCCCCTGCAAACTCGGCCAATGAACAGAACTTGGGTTCTATGTGTCTACCTTCGTTCAGGCCATACCTACTACCAAGCCCTCACCTACGCCTCTACGGACCTCGTTTCGGTTGCGTTGAGAGTGAGAAAGCGATCAACCTCGGCGAATGCTAGTTTCCGTGGTAGTTGTACCGCATCCGACATCTAGTTTGGTTCTCATATGCTCAGCCTGTATTGATTGATCTCCAAATTCAGACAGTGTCTGTTCCTTTTAGTAGGAAGTTCACGTCTTCACGGAATCCCAAGAGGATGGTGCTATGACGGTGCCGTTGTGTGCATTGTGCTTTCGGACTGGTGTCCTAAAATTCGAAACCCAAATCACTCAATACCCATCATCCCAGCGGAAGACCTACTGCGTAAGTCAATTCGTTTGGGTGCGTGCATTGACCGAGTTGCTCACGAAGCGATGAATGCCAACTACCCTAGTAGGGTGTGGGTTCTCCACTCTTAATCTTTGGTCCAAATTACGCCCCGAAGTACCACAGATCGTCACCTCGTAAACATAGTTTAAGTTGGCTAATAGTACGAGTCTGGTTTGAACCACTTCAGGCCGCACTGAACTGTGAGAGTACTGAAATGCAGCTCGATTCGATTCCGTTCTGGTTCTCAAAAACGATCACCCTACCCCTTAGCTAGATGTAGTGAGGTTTACTTTAGTGGGTATACCCAATCTACCACGATGGATCCAACATGAGCCTCACATTCGGCAAGATGATGATGTGTTCATTTTAAAGTACACTTCCGTCCTTATCAGCATATGCTGTACTATACATGATTCAGTGTGAGATGAAGGGATAAATGGGGAGAGATATAGAAGGTTGTGGGTCATCAAGGCTCGGTTGTGGAGGCTGGCTGGTGCGGCAACGCATTCCCTCATATGTGGGCCTCGATGGCTGACAAGGACATCTCTCGACAGCTCCTCACACACCTTACCATCTGGTACCCTTTTTCTGGAGGTCCACCCTTCACCTCAAGCCTCAGACAGTCCTGCGGAAGTTACAGATGAAAAAAAGAAAAGAAAAGAAAGTAAAGAGGGCCAAGGTGGCAGCCACGGCAGCAACGATGGCAGTGACCATGGTAGTGGTACTGTGGTAGTGACCGTGGTGGTGACTGTATGACCGTGATGGTGGTGGTGGCGATGGTGGCCGTAATGGCATCGCATACTGCGGCGGCGACGGTGACTGTAGCTGTACCACTCGTGTTGGTGACCGTGGCGATATTGACCGTATGGATGGTGTTGAGGGTGGTGATGGTCGCCGTCGCCGTCGCCGTCGCCTAGTACTGCTGATGCTCGAAGATCTGTCTGAGGAAGGGTAAACCTCCATGGGTGGTGGCGGCACAACAGAATATGAGCCTGGAATCGCTGTTCTTTCAAGAGCATGGGCATGCTCCGAGGACAGAGTCGGCAGAGAATCACCATCCGGTGCGATTGGGTGCCAGAAAGAGAATAGGCCACATGCAAATGTAGGAAATTCGTTTGGGCCAAAGCATTCACGAAGGTAGAGGACCCGATCATCTACGAGCTCTGCGATTTTTAAAATAGTTTCTCTTCCAGTTACGAAGTTGCGGGTCCCCCCCTCCGGGATAATCTCCTTTGTTGCGGATTCCGCATAGTGATTGACGAACACATAAAGGAGTGGAAGTAAGTGCTGAACAAGTCGGTGGAGTGATCAGTGCTCAGTAGCTAGGGGAGTGGACACGAACCCACATGCTCTAATGGTCCTTCACCAATTATAGCAGATAAGGCGGCGGCTCCGTCAATCTCCCAACGCGCGTTGGACAGCTTCTGTGCAAGATCCTTTTCTCGTTCCCGCATTCGCGAGCGCAAAAGCACAGACAACGGCTCGTGTACTTGAATGTCCCGTATCCGACTGGGAGGAACAACAAGTGGGTATACAAGCCCCTCGAGAACTATGTTGTTGAGTGTGCTCAGATATTCATGGACTGATCCAACTATCGCAGGCGCGATGCGTCCTTCAGCGGCACTACGGTTTAGAGCACCAATACTATTCAATATCTCCTTTTTATAACTAGGACACAATTAGCACATTGCACTTTCTGATATGAGCTACTTACTGGGCTGCCTCATAACTATATCTCGCAATGGAGTATGCAAGCCAAACAGGTAGACTGTCTCATGATGAGTCTCAAGGTTGTGGTTGATGGGAGAGTCACATACGTGTACCCTGCGGGCTTTGTTTCCGTGAACTTGTTTATCTCCTGGACACTGACATAGCTGCTGTGATCGATGTCGATCGCTTCTAAAAGGGCATTCCTATATGATACCCCCAAAAATTTCAAGGTCCAGTGATCAGAAACAAGCTCTGGATGGCCAGGAGATTCTATACAGTCGCTCATGTAGTCCCGAACGGCCTGAACGAACACTGGGCCGGAGACAGAGCCTCTCCACTTCTGTTAATTGAGAATGGGATACTCAATAAGTTCGTATAGCACACTGTCCAAGGATACCGTACCTCTGTTTCCCAGACGGCGCGCAAGTATGGATCGCTAACTCCCTCATGTGGACCAGCATCCAACTTTTGAAGGATACGAGAAGTGCCCATCCGTATTTCCTTCGTGATCACGGCCGTTTGGTGGTCTAATTTCAATTTCCAAATCATCGAATGGTTTTTTAGTAGCGCGTCAATCCCTGTATTCAAAGCGACGGTAATTTCTTCTCTGCACCGCGTCACAAGCCCCAGGTCAACATACTGGCCAGGTTGGGTGGCACGGGGAATAGGTGGCGGGTATTCCAAGGGTCGACGGGTGGTTTCGAATTGCGATACTGGTTGAGCCATGGATGGATAGGCGGGCCCCGGCGGATATTGTGAGGGCTGACGGAAGCCTTCGGTTTGCAACACAGGCTGGTACATGGATGGATAGGTAGGAGGGAAGGGGGTAGCTTGGGCATACCGAGTGCGCACGCGGCGAGACCCAATGCCAGCTCCACGAGTTTGAGGTAAGTCATACACACCATCATAATTGTCATCTACGAAGCGGGTCGTAGGCCTTCTACGGTCGTGGTGTTCCGTAACAGCGGGCTCGACTTGGTAATCGATGGATGGAAAGGGATCATCGATCCTCTTCTCAGAAACTGCAATCAACCCCTGAACGAGATTATCGTCTTCCAGACAGCGGCCGATTCCACCATGCTGCTGAATATAACGATCCATCTGGTATTCCAAATCCGTACGTTTTTTCAATAATCCGAGGACTTGATCCAGTTTCTCATCCGAAGCCTTCGTCCTTTCATCACCTAGTACTCGTGACCCAATCAATATAAGTAGGTAACCAGGGGCTATCAGCCAACCTACCGTCTTAGATAGTATTTCGGCGTCTGAGTAGCTGCACCGATGCACTGTCTGCACTGAGGAAATTTTACGGGAGGGCCCGAAGGGCCCGAAAGCTCTCGGGTGCCCGTGACTCGTTTTTTCAATTGCAATAGTAAATGGCTGCACTTCTTCGGTGACTTTATCAAATGTATTACCGGCATCGACTTCCGATGCTCCGTCATCGCCGTTGCCGTCGCCAACATCGCCAAAGTCGTTCTCCTTCACTTTTGCTCATTTTTTTTCGTTCTTTTTTCTACTTGCTTTTCTTACACATCAATCTTAGCACTAGTCGTTCTTGTTATCGCCATTGTTCTCGCATCATGATATAATTATAATTATTACACAGATCCCACATCCATAGCTTCTAATGCATTCACGATTCTTCCAATGACATGGTGATAGTCATGGTTATCGCCATCGGCGTCTTCGTTTTCATCCTCCCAGTCAGCGTCAGGGTAAATTTGTTCCACCACTGTGTCTTGAAGGCCATTTCCCATCGTAGGATCTTGGCCGTTGTTGGGGGTTCTCTCTGAAGGGCCAGGGCTGTCCAGGTTGGGATCGGGTGCCGTCCCAGCTGAGGATGGATCATTGTCAGCACGGCAATCCAGACATAGTGATAGATCAAACATACGATCAGGGGTTGATACATCAGCTTGGCCTGTGTCTGCCGTTGAAACGGGGCTTCCAACAATGCGGGGTGCTGGAAGAGGTGTGCAGGTGCCACCTTGCTTCTCCAGAAGCCTCAGTTTGCTACGCAGGTGTCTGTTTGCTCTGAGTCGGTACTCAAAGAGGAGTGCTATGTACCTCGATAGCTCGGGGTCAGTAGGTTTGATAGTTTCGATGTTTTGATGCAGCCGAGCTTCTTCCTCGTCCATGAACGCCCATATCCGGTGAGCTTCGATGCTGACAATCTCAATCTCTTCGCGAGCACGTTGAAACTTGTGCCAGGCGCGTGTTGCTTCACGGAAGTGGTGCTGAAACCATGGCTTATCCCGGATATCTTCACGGCCACGCAAAAGAACGATGTCGGACAGGAAATTCAAGTCCGTAACATCTTGCCACGTAAGCGATGGTTTGGGAGGGTTCATAGAGGCTGCCATATTGTTATACTTCTCAAGTATCGACTGGAGGGACTTCCCTCGCTTAGCGACCAATGCAGAAATTTGCTGGCGAGCTTTATAGTCTGAGAGCAGATGGTAAACAATGTTTTACGAGATAAGATAAATAGTGTTCATACCTGTTTTTGGCAACCCAATTTTCTCAAGCTCAAGCTGACGCGATATGGCTCGTTGTTCAAGCTCATCAAGGACTTGGTGGTAATCCCGCTGTTGGCGCAAAACTACTGCTTCGTGGCGTTGAGGGGAATCAAGTGCCCAAGGAAGAGTCAGCGATGATCTGGCTTCAATTGCCAACACACTTGAGCGAGCAGCTTCGAGGGTTTCGTTTGCCTGAGCTAGGTGCTGCCCAAAATACGCAACTACTCCTGCCGGCGTTGCAGCTTGCATTACCCAGTAATGCACCGTTGCTCTAAATTAGAAGGAATGCAAGCTCAGAGCCAATGTACATTACTGACTACTTACTCAGCACGCTCAAGATATTCGATAGCTTCTAAATACTCAATCTTGACCTTCTCATCGTCAGGCTCAGATTGAAGCGAAAAGATATAGTCTCGTTCTTCAGATAGCCACCGTGGGCAGTCTTGGTCAGGATCAAAGTCAGAGAATAACTCTTGTGTGGCGTCAAGGGTTTTTTTACTGTCACGAATGATCCTGTCAGCGGACTTGAAGTTGCTCAACAGGAAGTCACCTATCAAAGACGATGTCCATGATAATTAAGCTATACATGAAGCAATGAGACATACCTAATTTCTCATACTTGATCTCATCCCATTTGGAGAAATGGAGGTGGATACGGAGGTGACGGTAATAAGGAGAAGCATGACGAATGATGGGTGCGAGGGCATTGCTCTCCGAATAGACGCGTTCATTGCCCTCACCATCTTCGATACCCGTGCCTTTCTGTAAACTGATGAGGAAGTCCAACTGGCAGGACCTGTCATGGGCGGCACCATGAAAAGAACCGGTACAACACCTGAAATTGGCCGCTTTGGCCAAATCCCCAATCGATGACTTCGATAAAGTCACAGAGAAAGTACACCCAATATCGTAAACGAACAATATGTTCTTCCCAAATGTACGTATGAGCTTCTCGGCAGAAGCCAGAGGGTATTTTGCACTATCACAACATTAGCCGCGTGACAAATACCAGAATTTGTGGCTCACAGCTCTCCACTCTGAACCATATCAATAAGGAACTGTACGATTCCATGGCGACAAACAACTGAAAAAATACCCGTTTCATCCATAACCTGTAGGGCCCCAGATCTTGACTTCGATGGCATCGGTCGGGCATTCTTCCAAGCCAAGCAGGCATCCGATATCAAAGGCTCCTCTGTCTTCTGTCATGGAATGTCGTTGTGGGGGATGCTGGATGAAAAGGATAGACATACCTGGCTTGAAGTCCCTCGTTGTGAATGCTTTTGGGCGCTAGCAAAGCGGTCAACATCTTCCCGAGTGATGTAGTAATCGCTGACAAATGCACGAGAATCCCCTCAAAATGGTGACGAAGCCGTGAGAGGGAAGTGTTCCCATCACCAGTCACAATAAACTGGATTGGACGCTCTGGCTCATTCTCGACCTAGAGCACAATATTACCGAGATATGCGCTACAACTTTATAATGATTGCACTTACTTTATGATGGCAGGCAGGACAGGAGTGCCTGAGCCGATAATCAGGTAGATTATATCCAAGTTGCTGCTGGACAATACCACGTAGTCGATCCAGGATACGGTAATAGATGTCAAACGCAAGTGAGACCTGCGTTCTAAGGTGAGGCTGGAATACCGTCTATTGGTATACATTAGCAAACAAGATATTAATAACAAAAAAAAACCAAAAACCTTATGCATGTCAGTGAGCAACCGAGCAAAGCTCTGGATACTGAAGTTCGATGCCACCCGGAAAAGCGAATAAAGAAGTTCGAGGGTTCGTAAGGAGAATGCAACTTGAGGGTCTGTTGGCGTTGGAGGAAGGTACCCTGCACGCAGGAGTGCATGCACACGGTTGTCTATCTCGTCCCATGGTATATATTCAATCGAATGACCATCTGCAAGGAAAAGGGAGGATGAACGTTCCGTACAATATAGGACGTAACTCACTAAAGATATCGATGCATTGTATCTCAAACCAGTTGCTCCCTTGCCGAGGCTCTGGGTAATGCGATGGTGTGCAGGATAAATTGTTTATCTTGATGCGTAGATAGAGCTTGGAAAGTGAGTCAAGTTGCTCGTTCCATTGGGCATGAAGCCTGGACATCCGTGTACTCCACTCGCGCCCCTTCCTGCGCCTGAAAAATATGGTCTGAAACAATCACCCAGCACGCTTAAGACAAAGGGGACCCACGGCTTTGGTGCTATCGTTGATATCAGTCTACGTAACTGCTCATAGTCAAGCCCGACGTCGTCAAGTAGGTTCAATTGATCTCCCGGCTCGTCCTCCCAATCGTCAAGAATCTCCGGTGCTGGCCCTCCATCCTGAATCTCCGAAAGACCTTTGACAACAGCTTTTGATGCAGCTGCCATCCACAAGATGATCATGAGATAACGCAAAGTTTGGGGGGATCAAGCTTACTTTGCATCAATTCTTCATGGGCTGCATCTGTGGCTAGCCGTGCCTTCTTCCGTGCCACTGCACCACTCCGAGTAAGGGCTAATGAGTCCGTACCCCAATTAGTCATGATTACATGGCGCTTGCGCCTGTTGCCCATCCTGATCTGGCAAGGCAAACTTGTAAGGCATTTGACGCGGAATGAAGAAGAAAGCTCACAGCAGTATGATAATGGAGATGATTGACGCTGGGAAGGATTGTTGAGCCTACTGAGGAAACGACAGTCAAAGGAGTGATAACTGTCAGTTCGTCACTTGAATATAATATTCATTGAGCCAACATGCAATTCAATGGGAATCCGTGACATTCAATTTGAACACTGCCAACACATTGCCTAGTGCGCTACACAAGCTCTTCTAGTCAATTGATATGAATAAGGACGACGGTGAATACACATTAAGTTGTTGCTTAGGAGAGGACTCACTCACTTTAACAGACTTGATGTACACAAAATCACGAGCAACCGCACAAGAGGTCTTTGAGAGCTATGTTAAAGCCAGCAGTAGAGTATACCGCTGGGATGACAATGAAGTCAAGGGTTTCAACAGAAATGTGAGTGAGAGCTACATCCTGGACTTTTACATGGCATGGAAAGTGAACGGTGAGTGCTGATTCATAAACACGTTCCCAGCATGCTTACAACAACGCAGGAGGGCCTCCACTCGGGGTGGGGCAACAACGTCTAGAAGACATCGAGCGGGTTATTCCAAGAGAAGTCTTTACAAAGGAGATGGCACATATGGTAATGGAGGACCTCTTAGCTCCGTTGCTAGCGGTGCGCACTCAGATGTGGGATATTCGTGCATTAGTGGGTAGCTCTTAACCTTTCATGGGACTACGAACCTTACCTGTAGGAAAGACCTCCATCTTGGATCGCCTTGGACACCACAGCTTTGCCTTGATTGATTATGAGGGCCGAAAGGCGCCTATCGACATCATTGCACCGAAAAGCATTGGAGTTAATGAGGGCTGGGAAAAGTTGAGATCAGAACTCCTGGACGCATTCATGAAAACCCCTCAGTCCATCAGCGCACCGGTGATTCAGATGGTGATATCCCCCACCTCCCCAACCAATCAGGGAAGTTCCGTCACGAGCACAAGTACCATGCATGCAACTGCGAGCAAGGTCTCTACGCCAGCCCATTCCAGGGCTCATTCTGTATCAGCGGGCCGTTTCGTCAGCAAGAGTAAAGGCAGTTCTCAACCCCCACTTTCCTTCAAGATGCCGGATCCAGCCTCTATAACGTCCACACCGATGCCCCCAGGTCCCCCTACAGATTCGAAGCTACGGACCGTGTCTGATTCATCTAGCCTATGGGAAAGATTTGACAGCGAAAGCCCAGATGCAGACGCAGTGTCTGAGCATGTCCTAAAGGTTTCACGTGCATCGAGTGTAATTGTGCCAAGCAACGGTGAGTGCTTTGACACATAACTGTGGTGCTAAAGGCTGAAGGATCCTTGAATGTAGCCAGCCGTCAGCCCATGGTTCCAGTCAATCCCACCCCTGAGCCATCGGCGTTAACTCAAGCAAATGTGGCAACTCTGCAGTCAACATATGAGTTGCCTATTCCAAGCGTCACATCCCCAACAAAGGACTCAACAGTCCCACCAGCCAGTACACCCATGTCATCATGTTGTGCCGTCGAGCCTCATGAACTTCCTGATAAGGATCGCCAGCTTACCGACACAGATATACACTTCATTGTTCTTTTGGCTCGATCTGAGGAGTTCAACGAAATCAGCTATCGTGATATGCTGGTTAAACGCTTCGACCGTACGCCAGCTGAGGCATACTTACTTGCAAAGGTGGCAGCTGCAAACCGAGGGGCGTAAACACATTTTCTACATGTTGAACAACAACATATGTGAATTTACTGCTAAAATACGTTTAAAAAAATGGAGTTCAGTATTATATAAATTTGATAAAGCATGGACGTTCAATGAATTGAAAGACCCTGAGTTTGCTTGTTATTGTTTTTCTCTGTTTCTATTCAACACAGTCACTCCGAAATGTCAGTTGCGCCAACACCGCAAGGTAATGTTGGAGTTACTTACTTCAAGCCGAAGTAATAGGACGTACTGACACCCCAAATGGTTCCAGTGGCCAAAGCGAAAGAGAAGGACGTGACGAAGCAGGAATTTAATGCGCGAATCATGCAACTGAAGGCAAATTTCGAGGTTCAGGTGTCAGCTATTGCACTTGAGTTTTCACGCCGTGGCCATCACTATTCCCAGCGCCAGATCCGAAACCAAGTGATCTATAAATTATCAAAACCTAAGAAGACGCGTAAGCCCACAATGCCCAACGCATGGGCCCATGCACAGGCAGAGGCAGAACGTTTGAAAGGTAAGGAATTAACTTACATGAGCAAGAGGGGCGTGTGCTTACGGAGTACTCTAGAAGGGGCATTGCCTAACCTGCCTTACAAGGAGGAGTACCTGAAAGTACTCGAGGACATCAATGGGGGGAAACTCGCATACGAGGACGTCCAAAAACCCATGACATCAGAGGAAGAGTACACTTCCCAGGTTATTCTGGACGGCGTTATGGTTAAAAGGCACAATCGCGCGTTGAAAGAGACGATAATCTCACCAGAGTTATCCATGAACTCTATTGCAATCCATGCGCGGGACCAACTACTGAGCATAGTACGTTTCTGGCATCTAAAAGCGAGCAAGGATTTAGTACTCAAATGCACCAGGCCAAATCAGTCCACCAGTCATGCGGCGTTGAGGTGCTCGTGTTGATGACTCGAGGCCACTCAGAGGACTTATTTGCGCCAGTCGTCTGGGGAACAGATAAGGCCAAAGCCTTCTGGGCAGCTGTAGCACATGTGGATATGGGAGTACAGATTCGCCTCATGGAGGCCCATGTAGTTGGTAAATTAGAAAGTATGTGGTTGAAATCAACGCATGACTACTTACTGATATGAGGCATGAGCTATGGTCCAGGGATATAATGCAACAGCCGCGGCCATGCGTGAAGAAATAGCCAAGGTAACTAGGATAAGTCTCCGTGAGTGGCGTCATCCAAGCTTTCCGGCACACACTAACTAAATACACAGGCGAACTGAGTGGGAGGTCTAGGTTATCGATGGAATGGCAGCCGAGGAATTATTTGAAACTTACGATCAAACATCGTATCGCAATTGACATGACGAATTACCCAGGTGGCAAACTGATCGAACCGAAGCTTGCACGCGCCGACCACATGCGTGAGGTACTCAAAGGATGGAAGGATGGCCAGATTAAGTGGGTCGAATTGACAGAAGATCAAGTTGAAAAGAGGCGTGAAGAGCTAGCTGCACTCACCGCGATAGTCAACCCCAATGAGACTGCCCGCTCTATGTGAGACTCCCAAATGCACGAAATGACACACTAAAAAGCGAGGTTTCCTTGACATTCAGTGCGACAGATGGCGAGGACGAGGAGAATAACATTGGGTCAGCGAATATCCCTTCAGGGTCAGCGCATTTCGTTGCCAGCGGAGAACATTGCCAAGAGCGGACTAACACCATCTGTCACTCCCTGCGCACCTTAGATCTGCGGCCCCGGCTGTCACCCCATCTCCTCTCCAACCTAACGCCACTCAGGCCCCAATAGTGACAAGTGGAAAGGCAGCGACTGCTACGTAAGCTCTCACCTTTGCTGGCTAGCCTATTACTGATCGAACGACACCAGCCGAGGTCGCAAACGTAAAGCACCGCAAAATTCGAACCCCCGAAAGAAGAAACAGCCAGCGTCTGCTGTTGCGTGCTAGAGAGGACGGAAATTGGTGAGGGATGAAGTTTTCCCGACACGTGTCAAACGTTGGTGGCTTGGACACATTTGTACCTATGTGTTGGTTGGCCTGCAACAGAAAAAGCAGTCACATGTGTAATTCCCCATCGATTTCAAGAATATTAACATCACCGATGCGAGCTGCGTTGCAACATTAATGTCGGAGCAGCAATGGTACGATGGCGGAGACTGAGGATGCGATGAGTTTGAGTTATTTACATCGGAGTATAACTATAACTTTTAGTATAAGAGTACAAAAGAAAGAGAGGAATGTGCTTAACGACTACCAGCGGGGCTTGGGGAGGACAAGATCGGAGGAACTATCTGTGATGGCGATAACAAGAATGACTAGTGCTAAGATTGATGTGTAAGAAAAGCAAGTAGAAAAAAGAACGAAAAAAAATGAGCAAAAGTGAAGGAGAACGACTTTGGCGATGTTGGCGACGGCAACGGCGATGACGGAGCATCGGAAGTCGATGCCGGTAATACATTTGATAAAGTCACCGAAGAAGTGCAGCCATTTACTATTGCAATTGAAAAAACGAGTCACGGGCACCCGAGAGCTTTCGGGCCCTTCGGGCCCTCCCGTAAAATTTCCTCAGTGCAGACAGTGCATCGGTGCAGCTACTCAGACGCCGAAATACTATCTAAGACGGTAGGTTGGCTGATAGCCCCTGGTTACCTACTTATATTGATTGGGTCACGAGTACTAGGTGCCTTTCATTGATCTCCTTTGTAGACTTGTGAATGATGACAAATATTGCATCATTCAGCCTCGTTTTAAGCTCAGAAAACTTTTGGGCAAACGACTCGAATTTCTCCTGCCAAGACATGGATTTAACCATTCGAACTGGATTCGCGGGGTAAATGGCTGCGAACGTTCCTGACTAAGCCTCGACTGACCGATAACTTTTTGTTTGAGGTAACAATCAATCATGTTCCCACAATCATCTATCCCGCTCTAACATGTACGTTAGAATGCAATGAATATGGGTTTACTTGGAAGTCAAGATACCTTCATTTTTTGAAGAATTCCGACAATCCCAGTCTCCTCGGGTTCATCTGGAGCGGTCGATGACAGCTCAGTCAGCTGGCTCATCATATCTGCCATTTGATTTAGGAGCACTAGCGCCCTTCGATCATTCTTTAGACGCTGGAGCTCAATATTTATAATTGCCTATCCCAAGAGTATTCTGCATTTCTTTTCTTGCGTTAGGAAGTCGAGTGATTGCTCACTTTAAAGGGGATGGCGACTATGGCAACAAAGCTATGTACAGTCGCCAAATTATC